TTGAAATTAGCATCCAGATTTATATCACATTTAACACAAATGACATGCACCTTGCTAACCAAGCTAGCATTAGCACTCACAGAGAACTCTTTTCCAGCAAAACTCTACTGTCAAAACGTGGTCACTGCTGGCTTGCAAAAAAAATAGCATTTAAAGAGTCAAACTTTCCAACCTTCAAAACTGAAGTACACAAACCAAGGGGTGACAGCATGTTGGCTTCATTTTTGGTTTACACTAATTCAGTTCCCATGGTTAAATCAGCATTGCATGTTTTATACTATTTAAAACTTTACTACAGTCTCTACATGTTCACCACATTAAAGTCATCTCTGATGCGCCGCAATTTAACTACAGAGTGGAATCAATTAAATCTTAAAGTTTAGCCGGCTATAAATGTGTCAAGAGCGGTCAAGTGATCGTAAGAGGTAAGGGGCCAATCCGCGGTTCATTTAAGATTTATTTCCACGTTAAAAAGGAACAATGTCTCCCCATCTGCCCTAAAATAAACCCATTAGAGTGACTGATGACTTTCCAAAGCCATAACTGTATTGACCAGTTAAAAACAAGCCTTATGCACAATAAAGCACTCTGAGGTAAGGAACAGCCCTGGTGGCCAATTAACCCGCTATCTGGATGCTATTTAGCCTACATTGCACTTGACAATGAACCCTTGCACCCATAACAACAATGCAACAGTGAACCTCAATAAATCTGAGGCAGACTTTGCCCCCATTCTGTATTCCATGGCTCACGGAACAGTTTTACTGTAAAGGATTTATTTGTGGTACATGTGGCCTCTCATCATGCAGCAGCAGTACTTAAGTCTTTTTTATCCCTCGTGTGTTGTGGCTTTAGACGTTGAAAGGATTTTTTCTTAACAGTCACTGATGTTTGATGATGTCTTCATTATCGTGGCTGTAGTATTTTTAATGTTAGAGTGCCAGGACTCTTTTTCCGGATGTTTTGCAACAAGATTAATTAAAAAAGACTCGTTACCCTGCACATCTCTGAAAGAAGCAGAACACAAACCATTATTTCTCACATATTAAAGCTCCTGTGTGGGTTTTATAGCTGGTTATGAAAATGACTGAAATTGATATGAATGTTTCTTTATTACCTTCAAAGGCAAAACAAGACCTTCTAAGAAAAGATAGATTATTAATACATGGTTATACATAGTGCCTGAAACCACTGCCAGAGGGTCGGCGTCAGACATGCTGAAGAAACAGCCATCTTTTACATCTTCCAAAGTAAAGCTTCACAATGATTGATATCCTGGACCGTTTCAAAACTTTTTTTTTTTTTTGAGAAAATGTTACCTACAAATGTAAAGGACAAGATCAGAAAATAGATGAATGTGTATCTTTGACCAGAGGGGGCGCCAAACTCGGCAAGAACTGAAAGTATTAAAATGATTAAACTAAATACAAATCATTTACTGAAAACAAATTTAGTACAGCATTAAGACTGACCCTGGCTTGTTTTTCACGTTAAGAGAAATCTGTCATTTTGAGGTGGCTAAAATAAAACTAAAGTGTTTATAAAGTTTGTAAAATACAAATATAAAAACCTGACAAAAGTGTTCTGTCTGCCCTTGTTCTTATGATTGACATTGTGTTCAGTGTAGAGGTGGGAAATCAGTCAAAGTCTGATAGGTTACAAGTTAAAACTTTTCCAAGAATAAGACTTTCATGATCAATAATGTGACATGCAGGAATGGTGTTTTTTTTTCCTTTTCCAACAGAATTACATTTCTGTCCAAACAGAAACATGTATAACTAACCCACTCAAAGCCTGATGACAGCAGGGGGAAAAAAACACAAGGCTAAACAGAGAAGCTAATGATACCCCTGACCGGCTGTAAACAAGAGTAATGTGTTGCTGAGACATCAGGAATTCAACCAGCCACTAACAGAAGACCTAAAATTAGCCTAATGTTAACGCCCACTGGATAAAAAAAAAAAGATTAGAAACAGATTGCTTGTGAAGGCCTCAAGTCACTCCTCGTGGATTTTAGGTAATTTAAGAGTCTGAGACGACATCATAGTCATATTTCTTGTAAATTTAATCATTTGGTTTAATCTAATTAAAGTCACAAAGTATTCTGCAGAAACCTGGACAAGTGTTTTAAGAGGATTCTTTGTTAATGCACATGGTCAGGGCTGATGGTAAAACTTTACCAGGGGGATTTGGGGGGAGCTGGAAGGAATTGCTGGGAATTTAGCATTTTACAGAGTTAGTGGGGGTTGTACTTACTGCAAACATACAGGAAAAAGGAGTGAGTAGGAGAGGAGGATCTCAGGGCAGAGAGAGAGGGAGAGAGAGAGAGAGGCGAAGGAGGATTATGAGAGCAGGAACAGCGAAACACAGCAGGAATACAAGTGAGAAAAATAAACAAGCGATGGGCTGCCAAGCACTGGCTCAGCAGAGGTACTTCCCCTTATGTGCACAGCTGGATTTGTGAGACGGTGAGCAATACTACCCGCTCTTCTCCCAGACTCTGACACAAGCAGGGGAATTTAGCTTCTCCGTGTTAGACTGCTTCAAAAATAGCCCAGGATAACTGCATGGTCGTCACTTAACAACAGTGAGAAAAGACTCAATCGAGTGCTGATCTGCATCAAGGCCTAATAATCTCCCTGAGTCAATCAACACTGAGAGACATGCAAATCCTAGTCATACCTGTACAAAGTCGTTTATTTGATTAACTAGAAAACAATCAGACTGAATTTTGGCCATACAATAATTAAACCAACCCAGTGTTCCCAGGAATATGAGTTGTTTTTGATACAAATACCAGTAATGGTATTAGGAATGGGTTCTCAAGGTTGACGTCACCATTCACCATTCTGACACATGTTGTTTTAGGCCACCTCGAAAAGTGACGTCTGGAAGTATTTGACCAAAAAAAAAGACGATAACGTGTGCAGTGCAGGATATGTGGCGTTACACTTACACACTTGTATTTCACTTGCATAGAAATACTCGTTCAACGTCTAACCACATGTGCTTAAAAGGAGAAGGAGAAACCAGCGGAGACCAACAACAGGCAGTCTCACAACAATAACCTGCTAGCTCTGTCAGCACATGTTGTGATGATGAAGATTAGCCTGCTAATAACCAAAATGGTGATATGAGAAATGCTCCTGTTACATTTTGTGGACCCTCCTCACACCACAGGGTCATGTGTTTATATAAAGTGTTATTTCATTGAGAACTGGGATTTGAAGCTGGCTGTCCTGTAGACATGCAGTACTGATGAGCAGTGTTCTGCAACAACTTTTTGTTACTCCAGGTTGCATAACTGACACACCCCCCCCCCAGCCACCCCCCACCCAAAAGAAATTTTAAAAAATCATACAAAGCACAAAATAATGTCTGTTTTCCCAAATGCATCAATGCTTTTTGTAAACCTTCCAACAGTGAACAAAAACACTCTGCTGAGCCAAGTTTGTTTCTTCTCTTACCCAGAACTTTGCCTCACCAGATTTTATTTGCCAAAACCACGACCAATCCCCAACCTTAACCACACTGATGTTACAATATGCAGTGCAAAAAAAAGATTATCTTTTTGATGTCAAAAAAATAATTTAAAGAAAAATATGTCTAAATGTAAAAAAGTGTTTACAAACCAAACTAAATCATATATTGGAGCACTTCCTTCTTTCACATTTTGGGATTGGACAATCAAAATTCTTGTGAAGGATAGAAATTAAGGTGACGTTACAAAAATTAACCAAGATTATGAGGAACTTACTGTCAAGTTGAAACTGTTTGTGGTCCAACAGCTTTAGTTTCAATACAAACATTAAACCTCACTTCTTATAGAACAAGACAGTGCTGATGCAATCTGTCTTTGAACACTAGATTTAATTCTAGACATAAAAGTGCGAAACAAAGTCTAGATATGTTGAATTTACCATTTTCTGGTTGGAGATAAACACTAAAGAAATCGATATTACAATATGTCATCATGTGCTCCTTGCAAAATACATGTATCCATTCAGATGTTACAGAATCGATATGACTGCAAAGCTGTGATGACGGTTTTTAAAGACAATTGACCTATGGCCATAGCTCTGGGATTAAAATATCTTAATGCATTTCTAGGATCTCTTAGGACCTGATTTGAAGTGTTTAAGTTTGAGAATTCTTTAAAATACAAGAAATATAGCAGTATGTCTCTGCTGGTATTCTCAACAATAAAGAACAGCTGTTGTATTGAACTCTGTGTAGGACGTGGTCATTATCCAAAATCAATGTATCATGTCGATGCCTCGTGATACGTATCATATCGTGGGGTTGTGGGAAATACCCAGCCCTTCTGCACATGTTGACAGAAACACATTTATACAAGCATAAAAAGTGGCAGTGCAAAACAAACCCCCGATAAAGTGACCTTCAGAGTTAAAGTCAATCCTCCAATAAGTAAGTAGCGGTAGGTTCTCCATATTATCTTTACTACAGGACAGGTTTAGGTAGATCTTCAACAAAATAATAGTCTCGACCTTTGATCGTGTTGAGACTAGTTCACCAGTGAAACATGGCACCAGGAAGACGATCATATTTACAGATAACCAGTAAGCCAAAACAGAATTAATGGCAAAGGAAATACATCATCTGCCAACTATTGCAACATTTTCAGCTATTAAACGACGCACGCCCCATGATGTCTGCACATCGCTTACATAAAGGCTGTTAGTGGCACTTATTCAACCCCCCTCTGGCTACTTGGATCAGTGACGTTGGGATCTGGAATTTGGCGCACTTGTCTGACATTTATGATCAGGCAACACGGCAACATGGAGAACCAGGCAAACGTGTGCAAAAGATGAAAAAGATCTGGCTTTTGACAAGTGGGAAGAGAACAAACACAAACTGTGGGGTGTCTTTGTTTTCTTGTGCTCACCGTCACATTAACCAATGCAACACATTAGTGTTCCAGAAAGACTTGATTCATGGTTCCCACATGAATGCCTGCACAAGTGTAAAAAACTTACTGGTAGTTCTGAAGGTTCAGGGAGAAACTCGGCATCTTCTCCAAAAATGAAATCCGGTGGCAGTTCTGGATACTGTGCATTGAATATGATATCCCCTGAGACAAAAAGAAGAGAGGAGGAATACTTATTAACCAATTGTCATGCTGAGTCAATGTTTTATATTTATGAATCTATCTCATACAATATGTTTCTTAAATATTTGAATGGTTTTCAAGTGCAATTGTTTAAATATCAATATGCCTTAAGGATATAAAGAGTCTTTTTTAACACTGCTAAATGAAGGTAAACTTCAGTGTGAACTGTTTGACACCATTCAACGTAGCCAGTCTTAAATCTGACATGCAGTGGCTTGTTAAGGAACTGTTTGTTCTTTTCAGCGTCTCTCTAAACAGCCTCATGATATGCAGATGTTGTTGAGCTCTGGGGTCTTTTAATTGAGTTTCCTACAGTGGTGAGCAAACTTGATCTTTACTACTGGACATACCAAACAGATCAGATGTGTGATTGCATCATTCATTTTTATGACAGAACACCCAGATCCATCACAAAGTACAATGTTCACTTTGTGTGTTTCAAGGAATGGAAAATAAAAGCACATGAGTGAAAAAGACCCTCGCTGAGGCAGGTAGCAGACCTCCTAACATGATCATATAACTCATTACCTGGGCTGGTTCACAATGTTCCTTTATTATGTTACACAATCCTATTTATGTAGGCAAAGATTGTTCTGTTCTGCTTTTTGTCATTACAGCAACGGAAAGAAGGACGCACTTGTAGATAGGGAAGATTTTTTTTTTTCCAGTGGCGGAAGGTCAGGCTGTAAATATGTTGTGAGAAGAGCCTGAATGAAAAATAGATTTTTGGGATTTTTAGGGTTTTGTAACAAATTAAAATGAAAAATTGAACAGATTACCAATGAAGTATAGTTGATAAAATGAGCTACAGAGCATCGTCTTCTACATGGATTGGACATTAGTTTTGCACATGTATGGTTATGCAAAGGTACCCAGGCAGCTCTTACTCTCTCTCTCTCTCTCTGCATTAGTATACATTGCCAACCAATTTGAATGCACATCACTGTCTGCTCAGCTGCAACACCCTCCGATATGTGCTGCAGACGGTGCTGAGAGGGTTGTAATCTGTGAGTCTACTATAAACAGCACATACAAAACCATTTCTAAATGACCCAGGCATTGTTTCTGCCTAACAGGTTCTGTAAAAGGACTTTGCATATCGGCCAATATCAGAAAACAGAAGCAGATACCAATATACTTTGTGACAGACCCAGATCAACCAACAGATATATTGGTCAGGTTGTAGTCACAAACCACTGGGAATCTGTCAAGACGTAAAATGACATGGAGGTCTTAATGTTCAGCCTTTTATCAGTTCTGATAACTTGAACTTTTTATGTATATATTTATTAAACTCACTTTTCAGTCTAAGCAATGTATAAACTGTCTTCTCAAAGTCTAACTTCAACGTCAGCTGAGCATTAATAGATGTAATAAGGTTTTTTTACAGGTGCAACAACAAAGGCCCGAAATGTTTGTTGAGCAGAACCAACCTTTGTGGTTGAATAGAAGGAGGGGCAGGGTTTGCATTAATAGTGCTTAGCTCTGTGCAGAGTGTGCCATTCTTTTGCACGCTACCAGAAGTGTAGGCAGGTTCATAGGCTGGCAGAGACCCAACCTGCGGCCCTGCATCCTTGATTAAACAAACCTTCTTCCTCAGGCCAGAGCACAGGAAGGTGCATGTATGGTAGAGCAGCTGCAGAGATGTCGCGTGCCATGCCAGTGGTCTGTTTTTTGTTTGGGGGGAGGATTGCAGCTTTCATGTCTCAATGAATTAAAGACTTTTTCCCAAACTATGGCAGTTATAACACACACACAGTCAACTGTATAGTACTTACTTTAGATTTACTAAAAGGACGGAAAAGTAAGACTTTGTGGATCTGTCACGATATGAAACCCTGAAACTCATAAGGCATAAGGAGTTCATACTATCTTACTTTAATCTACAATTGTTTGTTTCATTTTTTTCACATTGTAGCTATTGTCTATTTTTGTTCTTTACCTTCCATGCTGTTTGAATGAATACATTGAGTGTGAGTGCTTGAATGAAAGGTACTAAATATGTAAAGTTAAAGGTCACATATTATGCAAAATACACTTTACCATAGTTTTCAAACGCTAATAAGTGTCCCTGGCCTGTCTACAAATCCCCCCAATTATGCTCCACTTTTTAGAAAATGTGTGCTCAAACGGACTGTTTGGAGATTTTCCCTTCATGACATCACAATGGGCGGTAACCTCTCCGCCCGGTGGGTGACACTCCCACAGCTAGGTGTTTGTTCTGCCCTCTGAGTCTGCCTTCTCACCTTAAATTACTGGGCATGGAGGGCGTAAGCCTGAGCCACCCTAGCCTTTCCAGAAAAGGGCGTGGTTAAACAAAGCACACCTGCATTTAAAGGTACAGACACAGAAACAGCCTGTTCTGATCAGGGCTGAAATAGAGGGGTTTATAGACATGATCAAATACAGGATCAGAGTGGATTTAGAACAAGAAATTTCACAGACAGATTTTGGGGGGCTCTGAGACTTATTTAAACTTGTTGAAAAGGAGAATAATATGTGACCTTTAAGTTTAGTTTAGTTAATCTCAACATTTAAAAGAATAAAACTCAACATTTACATAATGCAAACTAAAGAAATACTCAGGTGCAGCTACAAAACTTTGAAGATGTATCTGGAATCTCTCAGACCGATTTTAATCACTTTTACATGTTGCCATGTAGCTCCACAGCTGTGTTGCATATTCTTAAACCCTAAATATTCCTCAAGTCTAGCAACAACATCCTGACATTGACCACAGCCATTTCTGCCTAAAAGGAATTTCATAAAATATTGCAAAATAAGCAAAACTAACTTCCCCTTTACTACACCCACTTTTGTTTTTTTCCAAGCAGGGCCACATTTGCAGCACACAGTGATAAAATAAATAGTCTCAATAAAAACAGCATGTCTAATGTTCCCAAACTGCAGGCTCAGACCTTATCATCTGTGGCTTAGAGACTATTCTCATTCAGATGTGTTATTTTCTAGTTTTCTTTTGAAAAAAATGTAAAAAGAGGCAGAACCTTTTCTAAAATAACTTTCAGAAACTCCTGTTTCAACAAACTATGAAGGATAGATCTTGCCTCTGTCTGTATCTGATCTGTAACTTTGAAGTCGGTAAGAATATGAGTTGCAAACGTAGCCAGAAAACCTGCTAAATAAAACATGTGAAATAAATATTGGTGTAATTGTGCAGGTAGTTGTGCATTTTCACAAGCTTTGAAGGAAAACATCATATTTATTTATTTTGCTCATCTCCTGAACTTGATTTATTCATGATGCTTTAAGACTCAAGACGTTGCAGACAAATAGCAGATTTCTTATCTAGTGACAAATACACTTTCTTTGTAATGACCTTGTAACTGGATTTGTGAAGAGCAAAACTGCTCGTGTCAAATCAAGAGATGGTAACTGATGGTATCTTTTTCAGGATGTGTACGTAAACACATGCCTGATATGGGTGAGTCACCACAATTCCAGTAACACAGAGTAGAATTCATCCTAAACCAAGATTATTATCACATAACAACACCCTCAGCTCTTGGGGAGTCACGCTCAGAGGGGAGAGTGTCTGATGTGGGGACTTGATTCAGCAGAGAGAATCCTTTCCAGTAAGAGTTAAGTTGTACAAACTGCAACACTGATTAGGTATCACCGCAATAATACTCATCTTGTCTTTGTGCCTTAAGAAAAAGAAGAAAAGTTATTTTGACCACACTGCTTGCTTAGTAACTGCAATAACAAAATCTTGGTGTTCCAGTTTGGTTAATGATCTCAGTTGGCTGGAGCTCCTACTTCCAGTTTCCTCACTGAGCCTCTGCTCGCTGCATAGTTCACCTTACTTTTAGTTCGATGTAGAATCTGTACCAAGTCCAATATAGGTGTAATTTAAATATTGGATATTGGCAAAGTACAGGCTCATTGCTCCTTACGGTAAATCCATTAACCAGTTAACATTCAAATTAACGACTAACAAATTGCAAATGAAATGCAGTTTTTGTACTTACAGTTGAGTACAGAGAACAAAACAATGGATCAAAAGTGGACAAAACTGTGTGTCAATATGGCTTTAATTCTAACTTTCACTTGAAACATAAACCTTTATTTGCTGTGTAATAAAACCTGGGCCCTATTCTTGAATATTTGGGAAACTACATGTCGTATGTTGGTCGAAAGGTTTTTGAAATTCTCCGTTAGATTACTCCAGCAAGCAGCCAAGAGACAGGCAATGATAGCCTCATGGTAATCTTTCAGGACAAATGTGACTGATCACAGACATCCACTAAAAGTTGTAGTTTTTGCCACTGACAGGCTCAGATTCTTCTAAAATACAGTCGAACAAACATTAAGAGAAGGATCCTGCAGAGGAGGACATTTTTCTCTTACAGTTAGTTTCTTTTTTGTAACCTAAAACAGCAGTTAAACCGCTCTCTTCAAAGCCAACCAGACGCCATTGACAAAAACAGTAATTATGCAATTACAGTTACAGTCATTAAAACCCTTAAAAAATGTAGCCATAAAAATGGGCAATGGTTTCAAAATTCCCTTTTTAAACTGGGGAAAACTTCAGCTGAACAGTACTTCTTCATCTACCACAGCGGCCTGACTTCAAAATATATTATACTAACAGTTTCTCACCCAGGATTATTTTCTCAAAAGCCAAGAATAAATATTCACCAACCCAGAACAGCAGAGACTGAACTCATTTATTGAAATAAAAAGGGTGGGTAGACGTGTTTACTCACATTTCAGGGTTTCTCCAGCGTACGGGATGTGAAGTTTGAAGCGATCACAGGAGGGACCCGGGGTCAAAGTTGTGCATCTGAAAATGGAGGTAAATGAAACACCAAAAGAGATAAACTAATCGTCTGAGAACAATCTTACAGACATAAAAAAAGGATGTCATCTTACAGATCTACAATGCAATAAGTTCAACACACATGGAAGTGATGTATTTATCAATCAGTTATCTTTAATTATGGGACATGTCAGTAAAATATGTAATATGCATGTTTAAAAATCTGTAACAGAAAAGCAGTAGTGATCATTTAAAGGAAAGGTCACTCATATAGCAGATTCACATCTCGTTTCATTAGATGGACCAGTAATCTTTAAAAGGGGCACATCATCAGAAATGACATATTCTATATTTATACCATCAGGTGTCACTGAAGCAGAGCTTTTATATTTATTAGGTTTACTGACTAGATTTTAAAAGTGGAACACAAAACCTCTGAGTGAACAGTCAAAAGGTTTAATGGACGGCCACAAACTGCTGGTGGGAAAAAAACTGAACCTCAGACCTTTCTCATTATGTCATGAGCAACAGCAGTACAAGGGATTCATTGAAACAAAACTGGAATTAAAACTATCTTCAGAAACTGCAAGCTATCATCTTATATGATTGTGTTATGATTGAATTCTGACATGACTTGCCTGACTGGTAACAGTTTGATTATGAATCATTTCAAATGTGCATATCAACTTAATCTGGAAATAATTAAATATTCACGTTTGCTCCACCTGTCACCATCTTTCTCATGACATTTGAATGAACCCTATGTCATATCATCAATGTACGGCTTTAAAACATCTCCTCACCCAGTTTTGAGGTCGGTCACACGGAGACAGTTTGTGGAGTCGAGTCCAACCCGGCCGTTCCGCACAACGCTGCAGAGCAAGGGCCGCAACTCAGGTGAGATCCGGTGCAGAGCAACCTCAGGGGAAATGTTGTTCATTTTATCAACTCTGAGGAGTCTGTGAAAATACAGAAACACGTTAATGATTGATGATGATGTTGTTCTTACTCTCTGATGTACGTCGCTTTGGATAAAAGCGTCTGCTAAGTGAATTGTAGGATTGTAGAGTGTAATGAAACGCTTCAACGTGAATAATCAAACAGTAAACTATGCATAGATTTTTATGGAGGACTTGATAGACTATTTTGATGTAATTTCCTTGTAATGGTAAGAGGCTTTTACACCACATGTCACACCTACACATTCACACACTGATGGTAGAGGTTGCTATGCAGTGAGACCATCAGAAGTAACTGATCCCATTTATACACATTCATACGCCTCTGATGAAGCAACAGGAGCAATTTGGGTTAAGTGTCTTGTCCAAGGACACATCGGACATGTTGCTGCAGGAGCTGGGGATCGAACCATCGACCATCCGGTTGAGAGACGACCGACTCTACCAACTGAGCCACAGCCGCTCATGGATGTTGTGCCATGAACATGTTGTACCTATGTCAGTCAGTTTCTCTTTATAATAAGACAGCTTTGAGCTGCATGTTAATATGATAAATACATCTGAACAAGAAGAATACACCATGTTAAACAGGATGTTCAGATATCGTGAGGTACAAATATGGAATTCCAAAAAACACGTTAACGGCTCTTCGTCTACAGAGATTTTTAAAAGGTAACTGTCTTCACATTTAATCCATGAGGTCAAATCTTTGCATATATAAAATATATTTCTTTTCTTTTCTTCTTTTTCCATCAACTCACTCATTTCACTTCATTTTGATTAGATGAATGTCTGTTTCATTTAGCTGATAGATGGTTAACACTCTCAGTCTTTCTATTGTATGTATGTGTCTAAGTGTGTGTGTGTGTGTGTGTGTGTGTGTATGAATACGTGTATAGGTTACTGTATATGTGTTTATATTTCATTCAAATGGTGTAATTGGATTTGTTTAGTTGATTTATTTGTCTCTTGAGGTGAGGTCTCTTGTGTTGACCCCTCCTGACACACCTTTATGTTTGTGTTAATCCTACTGTGATGTATTCTTATATGTGTGCTAATAAATAAATAAATAAATGTTAATCCATCTCTGAGTTACAGCATGAAGGTAAAACGATGTGAAGAGAAGTCAGGAGGATTTACAGTCTACATGTTTGACTTCTGCTTTTCATTCCCGCTCCACTTTGAAACACAGACTGACACTTTGGATGTGAAGGACATCAATAATCTTGTGTTCTTCGTTAACTTTAACATTCATTTGTTCGGGTGACATGAGTAATTAACACCACAGAAAGTTGTCAGGATGTAAACAGCGTCATTCAGAAACTTGGCTTCGTTAGCTTAGCCCGATATGAAGCTTTAAACTGGCAAAATGTGAACAATATTGTGCTGTGAAAAAACACCTGTCATAATTGTCTGTATGAATACAACGTGCGAAATGAGTGTAGGTACCTGTAAGAGACTGAAAACAGAAATTATAAGCGTTTACTCCAATGTTTACTTCATGCTCTCAGAATATCCGGTACATATTGTTTGGGTCCTTTCAAAGCCCCGCTTTTAGTCGTCTCTAATAATGCCTGCTTAAAATAATCAGCGTTTTTATTCCGAGAGCTAACATTTTCAGTGATTTATTGCTTTAAAAGTATGTTTTGTGTCATATTATTGTCCCCTAACAACCTAAAGCTACCCAACATTTATAAACCCACAGATTCAATGGCGTATTAATATCTGGCATTAGCTTTAAGGTACGCAGCTGTCACTGTGCACTTTGGCCGTCACTTGCCTGTAGCTGTCCACATTGCAAAAACACATTTGAATAGTAAGGTCAGTATTGTGTCACATTTTCTCAACAAAGGTAAATCTTATTGTACTCTACATGACGTCAGAGGTCGTCTAATTAAACTGTTACGTTTTGTATTACAGTTTTTGACGGGTTTTTTTCACAAGGCTCCTACATTTCCAGAGTTGGAAAATGTTTGACAGAATACGAAGCTTTTGTAAAGTTATCATTTTATAAGATTATACGGTTTATATTACAGCTAAAGATACTTTACATCTGCACAATTTAGAGGTACATGCATATAATACTGTTCAGTAAGCCACTATAACATGTCAACATGTTTTATTTCTTATATATTTCTTATTTCATTATTTAATGTAGTTGTTAGATTAGTGTCATACTGGAGCCCGTCCTACAACCATTCAGCAGTCAGCATTATTTAGAGCCTACCTCTCTGTTCATTATTATTCAGGGATTCTTTCAGAGCTAAAGTAAGGATCTTCTAGCTCAAGTGTTTTTTTTTTACTTGAGTAGTTATATATAATAAAGGCTTTTTTCCTTATTTATATGCTCATCATACATCGTCCTCAAATTATGCTAATGGATACCTAAATTAAACCTTATTGTACCCTGATCAAATTGAATTTTAAATATATGCCTACATGCATTTTTCCTACTAACATAATGGTAAACCAAATTTCAGAGTTGATTCAAGTTTCCTTTATCTATGATCAAATTGAAAGAAAAAAAACCCATCTCCACCAAACACCCACATGCTTGTATGTTTTGTAAAAATAAAACAGAAAGGTGACACAGAGGGACAGAAATTGTGAAAATGAAAGTATGTGCACCAAGACTAATGTTGTATCTGACTGATTAACAACCGGGAAATTCCACTTTCATACCAGAATGATTTAGTATCCACTAGAATATCAACAATAAGATGTGTCTATTTTGTTGTCCTCCAACCTTGACTTGTGTTTTTTATGTAATTACATGAAGGGTCCACTTCAACAAACATCTAAAGTTGTCTTTTTAGTGTTCTTGTGTAACTAGAAATATGAAACTGTAGATAAAAAAATAGCTTTTAGCAGAAATCGTTTGTCTGAGGTTGAGGTAATGGGTTTAGTATAAGTGTTTTGCTGATTACAGTCATTATCTGAACTACTGAAATGGTCATATTATTGTAATACCAATCATTATGGAGCAAAATTCTGGACTACCCAACCAGACTTGCATGAGCAGAAATCTTGAAAGGTTTTAAAAGGGGGTCCAACAGCCCCATTCTCTTTTGGATTTTGCTTATGGCTCTGTTTAAATTGTTGAACCCACTCTTTGCGGTTTTGATTTGCATTTAGACTAAATCGTTTCAATGTAGTCTTTTGAGTGCATGCTTTGTTCTAGTCCTAAAGATGTGTGAGTCAATTCTTAAATCATCTTTAATTCATTCATTATGCAAATGTGCTGTTTCCCTGTGGGCTGAGGTGAACCTCTGGTAAAGTTATAGTTGATGAGAAATGATCAAACACGTTTTAAAGTCTACAAACTCTCGTGCAGGACGGTCAGCTACTTTGTGTGAATTCAGTGTCACTTTAACATGAGAGGAGAGCACTAAGAGGTTTCCTTGATGCTTCAAGTGCTCCAACAATGCAGATCTCATACAATTCTCCTGCAGCAGAGACGTTAAGAGTTCTAGGTTAGCTTTGCATGCCTGCCGAGAGGAGACAATATACTGCAAGATGTGGGAGAGAGAATTGAGCCATCCTGCAGCCAGCGGCCAGGCTTTCAAAATCTTCTGCTGCCTAGGCAGAGATTTGAGGAGATTAACACACTAGCATTAGCTCTGATACAAGCAGAGGATTGCATTAATTATAGACTTTGCTGGGCTGAGGTACATTCACGTCGTGTTGCATTGATATACCCCAACACCCCCCCCCCTTCCACCCCCAATAAGACTGGAACCTGTCCAACTCAGCCAGCAATGAATGCTCTATTTTTACCTTCGTCCTTGTTTCAGTCATGCTCATGCTAATGTGGCAGATAAATAATATCAAATGGTTGTTTTGTTTGGATGGGCTTGGGGAAACTATTTTACATATTTTGCCTGATGTGCCCTGAAGGAGTCCACTATGATTAGATTGAGTCCTTGTTAATGAATAGGCTTTACTCTTAAAGCTGGTCAAATGTTGAACATTTTCATTTCAAAATCATCCAAAACATGTTCCAATGAAGAATTGGATTAAGCTTGTTGTTACTACTGAAATGTTGAAATATTGAAATGTGTGTATTCATCAGATAATGACTGAAGAGGCGTTGGACGTGATGGTGGTGGGTTCCTGTATGACTGATTTAGTGAGGTGAGTAAACAAGACCTTCACTTCACCTTACTTACAAGTGAATTTAATCATTTTAATACTTTTGTTCTTTCCCTGACATGAAATGAAATGAATCTTTAATTTGATGCAAAGGCTCTGTCCATAGCTGATTCTGGGCACAGGAAACACCTGTGCTTCATTTATTTGTGCTCAATGGGAAGCAGCTTATTAAAAAACGTTTTAGGACCATATTTAGAAGCATATTCATCAAGTAAAACAGAGCTTTATGTTTTTTTGACCTATAGGTCTGGACATATGTGGCTTTGCTTAATACACATGTTTGGTTTCTAAGACAGATACAAAACACTTTTGTTCACCTTGGTCTTAAAAGAAGAGCATATTGTTTACATACTGAAGGTCAGAAGTCTTAGTGGTTAGTCTGTCTCTGGTATCTTTGTAAACTTCATTGTGTGCGGCACATGAAGGAAACGGTTAATTTCCTTTGCTTAAAACCCAATTCCCATTCTTATTATTAACCACCACAACCCCCATTTTCCTTCAGGGATTTTATTATGACATGCAAGCTTGTGGAAAATATGGCATAAGGGCTGATGGGTGTTTTCCATCATGGCTTGAAATGGACTGCAGAGGCCTGTGTCTACACAAGAATAGAGGAAGTGCTCTAAACTTAGATAATGTCACCGCCTTGCACTTCTGGTCCTGAAAGGCCAAAATGTAGAGGGAAGGAACATCCAGTCTCAGCGATAGTTTGGTTCTACAGCTTTTAGGTCATGAGGGAATTGTATTTATTAGATGCAAAGTCGATCATTTAGATGATTTGCTGTTAGGAACAGGGTTTCTTGTTAAATGGTAATGTTTGGAATTGTATTTATTATTTCCTGGGCTGCAGAAGAATGGTAAAAAACTAAGTATTGAAGACAGTTATGTTTCTGGAGTACTGACCCTCTAATTCTAGTAACTGCACATACAAAGCATGTCAAATGAAATGAACATTCAGGAGGTATTGATGAATAAAAGCAAACCCATTCATCATCGTCTTCATATCCTCTCATCCAGTGGAGGAAGAAAGCGGCTTTGATGCAATAAACATTGAATAATTAAAATATTTTGTAACTTTTTGTTAAGACGTTTTAAAGGGAGTTAAAGGTCATTGATTCAAATGATAAGGAGGAGTGCAGTTGTAATGACTAACAGCACTGCTGTCATTGACTTATAGGCATGAGGTCGCAGGCTTAGGGGAGATTATCACACCTGTTATGATATTTTTTTAAACTTCTTGATTTCAATTCTGATATTTTTTGTGCAACATTTTTTTTAAAAGTGAACAGTGCATGAAAGGTTATTATTTTTTATCAATTTACCGGTAATACTTAATTTGTCTCCTCGAACACAATGACGTCTGCAAGTCGACTTGACTTTTGCCAAGCAACACATTAATATATCCTTCAAACTTTTTACCATCTTTATGTCATCTCAATACGAGCATTCACAATAAACACACATTGGGAGAGTCTGAAACCTACAGAGACCCTGAAGTCCTGAAAAGTAAATAAAAAAAAAATATTGTATCTTGTGCGCAAAAAATATTTCCTTTTTGTGCATGAGATAATTGTGTTGTGACAAGTTTATCTAATTTGCGCACAATAGTTTTGTGTATGTCTTTTTTTTTTTTTACTTTTGGGGACTCCAGGGGCTCAGTAGAAACCACAGCACTAAAAAAAGTTATTTTTATGTAAACAAGCAACGCCTTCTCACTCAGCATGTGCACAATGTCACTATTAGATGGTAGCCGGGGGATGATGACCATGGTTTCACGCCATATTGATGTAGTCAGATAAAGATAAAACTAGCTTAGAGTAACTGTTGCCAATTTAGTGCTGATTAAACACTTTTATTTGTTTGTAAGGATTCAGTAGAAACATGTTGTAAATACATGAAGAAGCAGGTAGATGTAAAAACACAGAGTTAGATCTAATCTGCACTCTGTAATATTTGTCTATTTATTGAACTTAATGTCATTATCCCAGCGTTGAACAATGTTATCACACATTGCATAATCGTGTCTTTTACCAAGCAGGTCCACTGTCCACATGTATGTCTTCATGTTGCATTCAACTGTTGATTTAACAAGAAAAGAACAACCCTGCATCACTATGATGTAAATTATGTCAACGGTAAAAGGAGGATATATCCAGCCTGAAGTCGTAGAACTGCTGTACTCAATATACCAGCACTACTGGAGTCCCTATCGTCCAATCATATAACTTGGTAAAAACACTAGCCTGTGTAAGGGGAAACAATATGAGTAGGGGTATAATGAATGAGTTTACTTCCTCTTTTTGGCAGACATTTTTTCTGAGGAATTCTGAGTCAACAGTGAATGCAAGTTGTTTGCACGTCTACAAATAAGAAGCAACGTAACAACATGCGTCAGATTTAAGACAT